GTTCCATCTTGGCACCCTGTCTCAGCTGTGCATTTTCAACGTTAGTTTTGGGGTCTGGTCACATTCACACTAGAGCCATTAGGTGCTTTTTCTAAGAGTGTGCTTGTTATTGGATTCTCTAGGAGATCCCACAGGGTAGACTTTAGAGAATGTAAGGAGAAAATGTCCTCTTGGATTCATCTTACTAGACATATTTAGGGAAAAATGGTACAAACAGAAGAACAGAAGAAAAATTGACCAATTCCTCAATATAACAATTATCAAATTGAAATAATTCAGGTTAGTATGTGAAGTAATTATTGTGCTTTTAATATTGAATATTTCCTCAGATAATAATGTAACTACAATTATGGCATCAGAATGAAGGTTAATTATCATTTTTGATCACTTTGTTTACTTTAGGTGTTCAGTTTGTGGTTTAGCTTTTCATTGTTATTAATATGGTGGGACTCTATTTTTAAAAAGTTTTGGAAAAATGGACTTATGTAAATCTATCACAGTTTTTCTGGTTCTTCTGAAGTTTTTCACTTTTGGATGAAGTTATTTATTAAACATTATTGAAATGTACTACACACATTCTGGAGAATTTTATATTAGATACTGTCTAGCTATAGACAGGGCTTCTCAAGCTCCATGTCACCCTCAACACACAGAAAACGAACAAACCAATATGGCACGCTGGGGTAAAATTGAGAGATTTGGGAGACATCTTATGTGGGCCTTAGTGAAAATAATCATTATGCTTTCTGTATATTATATAATTGTACTAAAACTGCCAAGTGAGAGAAAAGACAATAAATATCAAAGTTGTATGAAACTTCCAAATAAAATATTTTTAAATTTTTAAATGAAGAATTTGAGTATGCTTTCATGAATAAATTTTCTTTTTAAGTTAGAGTTTATGCTTGAAATTGCCACCTATAATTCTTGGTGAAGTCCCTTTAACATGACCTCTTCATTTCCTTGGCACTTATCATCTAGGAGAAACTTCACAAGCAGGTGACAACCAATGAGGAAGGGTATACTGCGTTGTCCCTGATGATTTCTTTCTCACCGTTCACCCACATTTGAATAATCTAATCCCTTTACCTATAGTTAATGATGCAATCATGCTTAAAATCTAGTGACTCCTTTTCTTTCATTAACAAATGTGAAGTTGGCATTTATTGTGATAAAACGAATGTTTAATTCCAACTTCTTTCAGAATAAGTCTCCTAAAATAATGATAAAGCTTTTCATCAAGTATACACAGATATTGTTCTAAACCTAATCATTTCTTAGGATTTACATTATAATTCCCATGAAACATCACTGGTCAACTGTGCTTAACTTTTCTAAAATTTATTGGAAATTGTTAATATATTTTTTCATATGGTCCCTGAAATTTTGGATTAAGTTTAATCAGATGCTCTGGAATGTAATTAAGCAAGCCAATGACTATTTTTCAATAATTTGCAAAGAAAGGGTCATATTTGTTTCAATTCTTATTTTAATTCTTGACAAACTCTTGAAAAAATTCTACCCATAGGCAATGCATTTTGGTATTAAACAACGATAACCTATTTTGTCACATAGAGCTAAAAACGGGACTGTAATCATAGGGCTGTATTAGAGTCACCTTTTGATAGTCCTACCTAATACAGAATTCAGGTCTACAGATGAAGTTTTACTTTTGATAAATTCCTTGTGAATAAGCTCACATATTAACTGACTCTCAGTGTTTTTACTGTGCATTTGTGCCATTACTACATAATTTATGTAGTGTTTCCATCATAATTTATTTGTTTCAAAGTGTTAATTTGCTGCGCCGTTAACTAGTTTGTTTTGCTACTTTACAGAATATAAACAATGTTCTAAATATTTCTCTTCAGGACTTAAAAGCATAGTTCTGAACAAGGATAGATTAATCTGAGATGATACATTTATGATTTAACCATCTCAGGTTAGAATTATTCCCATGTCTGTGACATGTCTTCTGTTTACTAATAATATCATTCAAAAGTGGCACTCTTTCTTTTTTTGGAAATGTTGAGAGTTTCCCTAGAGGCAGGTAAAATGAGCAATTCTGCAATCGTGTGCATTATATAGGTCTTTGCTAATGCTAGCGTAACCTAACTAGCTTTATGATATTGTTATACATATAGATATACATATCATATACATGATATTGCTATAACTTATAGGAGAACTTTGATTCATATATTTTACACTTGCAGGTGTTTAAAATGTTCATAAATCCTGTGTGTAAAATGGAGGCTTGGTAGAAAGATGCCAGCATAATTTAACTGATAATATTTTGAAGTAAAGACATTCAGGCTGAAGAAAAGGAAGAATTATGAGGATATTTGGTTCCAAATGTGAGATAATCCTCATACTGCTTCAATAGTGACAAACTTGTTTAAAAAATTTTTTTTCTTGGAGGGGGAAAAATCTGTTGAATTTGTGAAGATTCCATTTTAATGAAATTTTTACATTATGGTGGGAAAATGTAAAATTTAAGACTATATAAATGAATTAAGAACTAATGTAGTTGTAGAGATTTGTAGTCAGGAAATTGTTTCAAAAAATAATTTGGGTCATTTGCATTTTTAGAATGTTATGAAAATAAATTTTAAAAATCGGTATATAATTTTTAAAATGAGTGCAGTCAAAAATTGAATACTTTTATTTAATAAAACTTCTAAAATGTCTTAAAATATAAATATTACTTTCACTAATGTAGGGTTAAATAAGTTGGGGAAATTTCTATTTAATGAAGTGATTATATTTTCCTGTTTCTAGAAATAAGCATCTTTTTAATTATGGAAACAAATTTTTCATGATATTTTCTCAAGAGTTAGACTTTAACTAATTATAATATTAAAAGCCAAACTGTAACAGTGGATGAATGAATGAATAAACCAACGCACAAAATAAAAACAAAATCAGTTATGTTCTACTTGGAAAACCTCATCCCATATGATAACAGTAATAATTAAAAAAATAATTTCTATATACTTTATTAGTTGAAAGCTATATTTAAAAAATATGAACATAGAACAAATTAAGTGAAAAAATTTAAATCTTTTGCATACACACAAAAAACATCAAGAATGATAAATCAAAAAGTAAAAATCAGACTAACTCATTATTTTAGGAAGTGTTCCATGTGTAGACACTTATTCAAGTCCTCTCTGCTCTGTCTATTCATTCTGTATTCACAATCTTATGAGCCGAAATACATGATTAATAAATTTAGGTATTTTTATGAGACGGCCATCTAAACACTACTCAAATATATTTTCAACTCTTGTGAACTTTTGAATAGATAGGCTATAACAGCTTAAATTTTTTTTCTAAATCTCTACATATGATTTTCAGTCATCAGTCTCTCAGGGCAAACAAGTGGGCCATGACTCACTGGTTGGAACGTTCCAAGCCATAAGACTAAATATTTTTATGTTTAAAGCATCAAAATGGACTAGAGATTGGGGACCTTCGTGCGGGTCTCGAATGTCCCACCAACGAGGGTCATGACCTTGCCCTTTGGAGTGAATGGAATGTCAGAGTCAGGTGGGGACATGGAAGTCAGCTGGTCTGAACCACTCATTATACACAAGAAGGAAGAATAATCAGTAATCAGTACAGTAACACGTACTCTTTGATCAGGTCCCAGTGCTAATCATTCATTTAAATAAACCTTGTCTCGATCAAAGTGTTCCCTTCATGAAAGCCTTCGATGAGTCTGTTTTTCTGGTATGAATTGCAAGCCTAATGATATTCAAGCTTGTTTTTCACCCTTTTAAATGATACAAATGAAGTACATTGAGTGCACTTTAAATGAAAGATACCATTACAGGAGTCGAAAGAAGAGCTACTTTAGAATATAGATAAAGGGTGAATTATCAAGTTCATGTTGTCGAATTTGGGAGGTGAAATTTCTTAAGCATTTCAGAGGGAAGAATAATTTCTTTTTGGTGAGTGTTAAATAAAAGAAACTCATTATCTGGAAAAATTATTCAATTCTGTGACTATTTCC